GGAGTGTAGAGTGATAATAGAAGTTGATGTAAATTATTGATTTTTTAAATATCAATATGATCGTGTTGAGGCATACTGATTGGTCGTTTCTTATTCAATCAGCTCTAGCGAATACTTGGAGAATACTCTGGAATCTTCTTGTGTAAAATTATACATATGCAACGTTTTTCTTATTGTCATTCCTACTTTTATCCAACCTGTTTTATTTAGAATATAATTACGTTCCTGTTCAGCTGTGTGCTTTTTTGTGAACTTGTCGAGTAGTGTCCAAAGAGATAAGAGTAGCTAGGTCGTAATAAGAGAGATCATAACACCAGTAATAACAAACTAATTTCGATCTTAAAAATGTGTCTTTTACTAATCATTATTTATTTTCTTAATAGATAAAAATTCTAGGTTTCCTTCTTGGCGCGATGTGTACGTCGATATGTGAAACACCTACAACCTACGTTACAGTTGATGATCAATACAATTTAACCCCAATTGAAGTTGTATTCAGAAAAAAACAGACTTTAGATAATGATGGTAAAAATCCACATTTATACGACTCGAAACATAACGAATCTCTATCTAAACATAAAAATATGGGCATTCTAGAAAAAACAAAGCAAATGTATGAAACACGTGGTGTAAGTTTCAAATTTTGTGCTTCGATGTTATTTCCCAAATGTGTGTGTTGAAATAAATTTCGTTGTTTGTTTTTGGTTAAGAAAAAAGTGAGCTCACAAACGGTTTATATTATATGAGTCGTTTCGATCACTTAGTTGCGTTCACAGTTACTTTTATCAGTTTTCAGCAAGTTGACTTAGATGTTATATTGGGACTGTTTTACTTACAGTGAAACTACAGAGTGATTCGAGTAGACGACTCAGTAAGCATAACCATCAGGAATGCCTATTCACACTTAATGTATTATTCCTGATTCCCCTCCCCCAAACTCACAATTATGGCGAAGATAAGTAAGAGCCAAGAATATATTTACTTCTGTTATCGATTATAATGTAGTTGGGGAATAAGTAGGTATTCATAAATTTTCATTGTGATCACGAACCAACATAAGTTAGATAATCACTGAAAAATAGGGAGTACTAGACTGTTGTTTCGTCCTGGCGTGGGACTCTTCAGTAATGCGCATATTAATTCGATATGATCTTGATAGTCAATTGTTTTTTCAAAGTGATTTCATGGTTTGGGACTTCAGTTTCTGCACACAGTATAATGAGATTATTATTTATTATTTATTTATTTGAACACATAAATATTGGTACAAGAGAGCGCCAATATGTATGCGCCACACAAACGAGAATTCGAAGAGAAAGAAAAAAGGTAAGGAGCGTGAAAAAAACAAAAAGAGGACAATAACGAAGAGGTTGGTGTAAGGTAGTGTAGTAATAATAATAGTAATAATGAGGGAACGGAAAGGTACAATCAGAAGAAATCTTTCAGTTAAGGGGGACATAACCACTTTTTATGAAGAAAGTAAAAGAAGGTTACAGCAAGATCGCCACTGGCTTCTATTCTGAGCCATATCTGATAACGTCTCTAGCCACTGTGTAGCACCATCTCTCAGACCCCAACTAGGGTGTCGTGAAGGACCAACAGAAGCCAGTCCATTGCAGATTTCTTTCATACCACGACACCATGTCATGCACTGACCACCTCTCCGCTTCTTCCAACCAGTCCCAGAGTCGGCAAATAATGCACGACGTGGAATTCTCTGGGATGACATTCGTAGAACATGTCCAACCCACCGAAGTCGATGTTTGAAGATGGTGACACCAATTGAATTATCGTCGCTGTGTCCGAACACACGATGTCGAACCTCTGTATTATTAAAATGGTGTTGCCACTGGATGTCAGCAATCGTTCGGAGACAACGATGATCAAACACAGAGAGTCATCTAACATGCTGAACTCGGATAGGCCAGATTTCACAAGGATAGAGCAGAACTGCTCTCACCGACGCGTTGTAGATCCAACCTTTTACAGCGAGACTGACATAAGGAAGGCGCCAAAGATGGTGCAGATTGGCATAAGCCTCTCTGGCCTTGATTATACGTGAATCGATCTCATGACTCACGCCACCACCGGCACTTATGCAGCTACCTAGATACACGAACTTCTCGACTACTTCTATCTGCTCACCACCCAGGGTGAGTACAGGACTATAATTCTGCCAGTCTTGTAGAAGTACTTTTCACTTGGAAGGTGGAAAGCGCATACCGTAGCTACGGACACTGATTGTCAACTGATTAAGTGTGGATTGCATGATTTGGGCATTATCGCACAGCAAGACAATATCATCCTCATACTGGAGGTGGAGAAGTCTTTCTCCATGCAACAGATCCACACCGCCATTACTTACATTTATCAGAGCTGTTTCCAGAACGTCGTCGATAGCAAAGTTGAAGAGGGATGGTGAGATTGGAGATTGGTTATCTTAGGGGGCCACACCCCGAGCCTTTAACCTGAAGGTCTAACCCACAAGGCAGTGGAGCATCGTAAGAAGATGCAGTCCCATGGTAGCCGGTGACCAACGATTGGTTCATACGCCATTTGTTCCCGCAGGATACTGGAGCCCATGTGCACCATTGATTTGGAATCCGGTTAAAGTGCCGGACATTCGCTTTTCATCCTCTCATTTTTGTAAACAACACCCCCGCCACGAAAAGCCAGTGAGTAGGACTTGTGTGGCAGAGGCTATATACGCGTAGCCATGTGAGGGCATTTCGAGAGGGAGAGAGGACTCTCCCCACTCTCGGTCGTACCAGGGCATTCAAAATGTGTATATGTAGAAAAGTATGTTGCTTTGTTGTTAGCCCGTTTTCTTTTCTTTTCCTACAAAAAAAGATGTTAATACAATAAGTTTTAAAATGATCTTCTCTTTTGTTTACCAGTCACTTATATCTACTCCAGTTACGACAGTTTTTGAGAAACTCTATGCTTATCGGAAGCAGGTACGTACACCTATTTAATGAAGAATACTTTTTAAAATATTTCATTTGATATCTGACTGAAATATAAAATGGAATTATTTTCATTCCTTAATTACAAGGCAGAATGTAAATATATATCTTTTTTTCCTCTTAACAGAGTCACAATCAGTAGAATAGTCATATAGCAAAAATGAAAATGCGAAAAATTATGTCAATAAAATGCATAGTAGGAGGATTTAATCTTGTCAATTGAGATAACAATAATAATATTATCAGTTTAGGGGTTGTGGAGGTTGTTAAGTTTTTGATTGAAATCATGAGTCTATTGAAGCTAGACCACCATGGAAAACCTGGAAGCACTGGACGGCCGTTTCGTCCTAGTATGAGACTCCTCAGCAATACGCATTCACCATCCCGCACATCGCGAGATCTGAACCCATGACCTATCAGTCTGGCGCCAGGCGCTCAACCAACTAGACCACTGAGCCGGCATCCAATGTTGTTAATGTCTAACCTCAACCAGTCCACGAAATTGCGCGACCATCTTCCATTGTACTGAGGTAGACACCTGTTTCTACCGGACACGGATTAGCTCCACTGGTGTGAATATAATATGTAATAAGGGGGGTGTTATCAAGGCAGTTACGATAAACGAATTGGAAATGATGGATGTGAAGATTAAGATAGAGGTACTAAAAAAGAGGGGGTAAGATGTTTATAATATTCAGTTTAGGTATCCGGTGATCCAGTTGTGGGCCAAGGTAAATATAGAGGCTGGCTATACTTTTTCTGTATACATAAGTTTGGTTTTCTGGAGTCGATCCAGATGGCTTCGGCTATGTAGAGTAATCGTAGTTTATCTCCTTGAGGTATATATTTTGGAAATTGATATCAAACAGAGAAAGCTTCCTTTATTTTAATACATACTTTATTTTGGCCTTTGTAAAATATTATAATTATGGAGAGCCTGATGATGGAGTTATTGAAAAAAATTGTTCGCTCAAATATTCTTTACTTTTGAATATTCTATGAGGATTTTTATTCTAATTAGTTGAATGTTCAATCCTAAATTTTTGAAGCTATGCATTTAAATCTCTGTTCAGCATTATTTCTGTATCAATTTAAATCAGTTGTTCTCATTCTACACTACCATAGATTTGTTACTTTTACCGTCGTAAATGAATCTTCATTATAGTTTCTATCTATTTTCAATTGATTATTTTTCATCAATTTATATTTGTATGCGTCCGTTGATTATCATACATTTCACATGCAATTATTTGAAGATTTTATTTGCATACCTTGATTTTTCGTTAGATTTATACTCCTTTCCAATAATCGGTATTTTGTTTACTTACTTACGCCTGTTACCCCCAATGGAGCATAGGCCGACAACCAGCACTCTCCAACCCACTCTGTCCTGGGCCTTCGCTTCTAGTTCCATCCAACTCTTGTTCATTTTCCTCATGTCTATTTCCATTTCCCGGCATAATGTGTCCTTTGGTCTTCCTCTTTTCCTTTGGCCTTGAGGATTCCATGTGAGAGCTTGTCTTGGGTGCTTTCCTCAATGTATGTCCCATTCACTTCCATCGCTTCTTCCTGATTTCTTCCTCCACTGGGATCTGGTTTGTTCTCTCCCACAGTAGGTTGTTGCTAATAGTGTCCGGCCAATGGATCCGAAGTATTTTGCGTAGACATCTGTTGATGTACAACACTTGTATTTTCTGGATGATGGCTTTCGTAGTTCTCCAGGTTTCCACCCAACACAGTAGAACTGTCTTGACATTTGTATTGAAAATCTTGACCTTTGTGTTGGTTGACAGTTGCTTTGAGTTGCAGATGTTCCTCGGTTATAAATATGCTGCTCTTGCTTTGCCGATCCGCGCCTTCACATCTGCATCAGATCCACCCTGTTCATCAATGATGCTGCCCAAATATGTAAAGGTTTTTACATCTTCCAAATCTTCTCCGTCAATTGTGATTGAATTGGTGCATACTGTGTTGTATCGGAGAATCTTGCTTTTCCATTTGTGTATATTGAGACCTACTGCCGCTGAAGCTGCTGCTACATTGGTCGTTTTCTCCTGCATTTGTTGTTGCGCTTGCGATAGGAGGGCCAGATCATCTCCGAAGTCTAGATCGTCCAGCTTCATCCTAGTTGCCCACTGTATCCCATGCTTCCCTTCAGATGTTGACGTCTTCATGATCCAGTCGATCACCAGGAGAAAGAGGAAGGATGAGAGTAAGCAACCTTGCCTAACACCGGTCTTCACTTCGAAAGACTTTGTCAACTGTCCTCCATGCCTGATTTTGCAGTTTAATTCATCATAGGAATTCTGTGTGATATTGACTATCTTCTGAGGCACGCCGTAGTGTTGAAGAAGTTTCCATAGTGTTGTTCTGTCCACGCTATCAAAAGCCTTTTCGTAGTCAATGAAGTTGATGTAGAGTGATGAATTCCATTCAATTGATTGTTTCACAATGATCTGTAGAGTTGCGATTTGGTCTGTACGCGATCTATCCTTACGGAATTCTTCCTGTTGGTCTCCAAGTTGGGCGTCTACGCAGTCCTTCATCCTGTTTAACAATACCCTGTTGAAGACTCTTCCCGGTATTGAGAGAAGAGTGATGCACCTGTAGTTTTCACATTTGTTGAGATCGCCTTTCTTTGGTATTTTGACCAGAAGTCCTTC